CCCCTGTGTCTTGGTCAAGGCTTTGATGGCCAGGAAAGAAAATTGGTGCTTCTACATAATATATTTGCATGTTGTTTGGTTGTAATGTTCCCTAGGTAATACAGCAAGTGAATTGGCAATGGGGCCCTGACAAATGCATAAGGAGGACAACCTGATAAAGGGTGCGGTATTTTGTGATCCTAATGGCAGTAAATATTAATGAGAAGACTGCATCTTCAGCTGATCTGCTTCCTAAAAATTAGTAATGCGTCGCCTCTGTCATGTGCAGTAGTTATCTGTGTTCCAGCTTACCTCCCAAAACAACTCATTGGATCTGTGGATAGGGATGCATGAATGAGAGTCACACAAAGGTATGCTGCTCAGCAGATCCTCTGTCTTGCTGTTTTGTCAATGAGATAAAGTTGCCTTTATTTATACGTGGCATATGGACCTATTTTGTCATCTTTTTACAGCTGCTCAAGGCAGTCAGCCTTAGCCATGGCAAGTCTTTATCTTCTGTCATTTCTCATCTCTTTGGTTTTGTAGGAAACCCTGTTTACACTTAGCATGACTTGTGCAAACCTGAGGTAATAATCACATTAGCTTATATGGCTGTAAAGCTGTTTGAAGTACAGAATCTTCACAAATTATAAACCCAGTCATCAGCTACGCTCAAACATATTTAATGATACACACTACATCAATTATTTTTCTGTTTAAGCAGGATAAGATTGTAGACTTTCAGTACTTACAATACAGTCAAACTCACTTTTATTTTAAAATGTGTTTTAAAGTACAGTTGTGTATTGAGATAACACTTCAAAACAAGAATGCTATTGAATGCCAATAGCATTCATAGTGTAGCTTCCTTGGTGGCTATGTATTGTGAGGAATTTCAGTAGGTTATCAGTGAACTCCAGCTAATCCTTAGAGGCAGAAAATGATGCGAGGAGGAAGTTTGGCAGGCATTTAGCTGAAACAAATAATTAAAAAAAAAAACAAATTGTTTTGATTCCATAATGTAATTTGAGCCCCAAGAGCTCATAAGATTAATAAGCTTGGTATTCAAGTGTCGCTATATTTTCTTTGAGATGTTTTTTACTTACTGGTAGGTCAAGAAAGTGAAGTGTATGAAGTCCAGCCTATTCCTTCAAAGTTCCAAATGTAAGTATGAAAAAGCTGATTGTTTTTAGGTCTGAGGAGAACAATGGATTTATTCTAACTTCGCATCTTGAAGTTATGATGCAAACATATGAAAGGATATTCAAAATAACTTCCCTTTTGAGGATTCCCAGAAGTTTATTGCATGCAGCATTTTACCCTGTTCTTAACTTTCTGTAATTTATTGACTGATACTTACTGCTTATCCAATTAAGAAATGAAGGTGGCTTGAAAACCCAGCAATTTGGCTGCTTCTCTTTGCCAAGGCATGCTAGAGCAACCTCTTTAGCAGCAAATAATTCAGACTGTGCTTATCTAAAGGTTTGGTGTTAGTGTTCTGCAGCAAGGTCAACAGTCTTCTAGAGAGACTGCTGATAAACAGTTCCCCAAGAACAGATTAATATACCATAGCTAGCTTTCATTCGTATGGTTGGCTGATGTCAAGAATGAAAATTGCATCAGAAAACTAAAACAGAAAACTGCAACTTGATATTATGTAGTTTGAAATCCAGGTTACTGCCCACATCTAGACAATTATGTTTATATATGTCCTCTTGCTTTTGCTGTTATTGCTCTTTCTTCTAGTAATATTGTACATGAAAGATTGCTCTGTGTTTATTTCTTTGGTTGCCACACCTGACACGTTAAAGAAGATGAATGTTTTCTCCAGGAAAAAAATCCTTGTTTTAACTGGCTTAGCAAAAATGTGCACCAGCAAAATGGATTGGAAACCTGCTGGCCTTTTCCTTCTTGTTTACTCTCTATCTGCATGACTCAATTCCTTTCTCTGGGCAAGAAATTTCCCAGTGGCACCAGTGAGTCTGCTGTCCTACCTCCCACCTGTTAATTACCTATTTTTTATGCTTTTGTAGTAGATTTGCAAGAGCACATGCATTGCAGTTAAATAGCAGCTCCCTCCAGGAGCTCCCCTGCTTTCTGTGCAAGATTTGCTCCTTGAAATGACTCCATGGTAGGCCAGGGTGTTTTGATGTGTCTTTATCTTAATCATTCTTCTAAAGGCCAAGTTATCTACTTACATTATTTATGTAGTTACTACTCTTCACTGACATTAATTTCTTGCCACCAGTTGCATCAAACTTGCATGCAAGAAATTGGCAAAGGATGAGGTTTTCAGTCAGTGAAGTTATACAAACTGTTGAAGATGTTTATTTATGAAAACACCTTTGAATTAATCTGATTATTATTGGTGTTGAAAATTGTGTTGGAAGAAAAAAGCAGCTGCTTTTGTAAATTAAAAAAGACACTTTGTACTTTGGAATCTGTCATATAGGAGAAAATATTCTTGTATTAAGTGTCTGCTGATAAGTAGGCATGTACTGCCTCTTCTCTGATAATAGGTTTTCCTCAAATGCTGATTCAGGTTTGCTAAGTTTTTAACTCAGCACCAGAGGCGATGAAATTACTTTGTGTTTTAACAAATTATTCAGAAACTTTGTGTAAGATGGAGGACAGCCAAATCTCTACTCTGGGCTACAAATAATCGAGACAGAAGCAGTACTCGTGTGAGCCTTTCAAATATTCAAGCTGCCAGGAAATAAAATCCCTTTCCTTAGCATTAATGTCTAACTGCAGTGAATTTCTCTGCGTAAATTCACAGGTGCATTTTGACTGTGGGAACAGTCATGCCTACATAGGACAGGAGAGTGTCTTCCTGCAGTATCTGTTGAGTATCTTGCTCCTCTCTGCCTGGCTAGGTGCAACCTGTGTCACAGAATCACAGAATGTATGTCACAGTACACTCACTGTTCCATTCCAGGCAACGCTCCCTATTTGGGTTTCTACTGCATGAACATCATCTTGCCTCACTGTGCATCATACGTTGTCATACTGGCTGTGCAGTAAGATTTTGCTTCCTTCTTGGCTGTGCTGCATGAAAGCTTGTGAGGCTTCATACTGCATCTCGGTGACCTTCAGGGCTGATTCTATCCTGTCTGTAGGACAACACAACTTCCTGTCCCATCAGATCACCACTGCATGCTCCCTGAAGGGGAGGGGCTTAACTGACCTTTGGGTGCCAGTAAATCCCCTCCTTTTTCTTTATTTTCTTTATTTTTACTGTGTTTCTGTGGTCAGACAACACAGCACATCTTTACATCCTTTCCCATTCTTCCATGATCTTGCTAAACCAAATCAGGACAGACTGTAATAGCTTTGGGACCTCTGGCTTGACCCAGACACTTTTGGCTCTGGTATTTCCTACAGCTGTCTACAGGAGCCCTGAGTCTGGACTTCTCTTCTTGCAGTTTCAGATCTTAGTCATGTTCTTCATATAGAATCTCATTTTCCATTTCCTGTATCAAAGTCAAAATACAATCAAGTATTGTTACCTGAATGAACTGTCATCCACTTCAGAACTTGCAAAGAGGTTTTGAAGTAAAATAAGTTTTGACATCTTAAATTGGTATTTCTGCATACCCAAGTTGTTGTATTACCATAATACTGCTACCTGCAAACTAACTTTGGCTTATCCACAGGGGGAGAGTTAATGCTTAATAAAAGCAAGTCAGATTAATGAAGGCTTCTATTAATTGGAAATAAAATGGTTTATAAAGCTGATTACTTCATTTTAATGCAATGAAGTTTATGTATTTTATGGGATTATTAGTGTATTTCTGTTCTTACATTACTTGTTTTAATTATTACTTGCAATTCCATAGAGTTAGCCACAGTGGGGTAAACTTGAAGCAGATTAGGAATGTTTGGAAATTGGTACATATTGATTTCTGTTGCTTGAGAAAGCCAACACCTACACTGCTGTAATTCTAGTTGTTTATGGGTTCTGTAATGCAGAGAGCTTGCCATTTTTGTCGTGTTAGACTAAGTTCCAAGGCAATCTCTATCTGCTTTGATAGGATTGATTTACATGTCCTTTTCCCAAAAGCTCCCAAGAACTCAAAGATTATCAGACAATTCTCCCCAACAGTCCCCACACCCTAAAATACACCAATGCTTATCAGCAACAACTGAAATTCTGAACTGATCCACCAGTGCTTATCAGCAACAACTGAAATAAGCAGGAAACCCTTCAGGACTTCAATGCAAAGTCAAAATCTTCAAAAATTAGGAACCTTTCTTGTAGCCATCTACCTCTTCTTGTCTTCCAGAGGTGCCTGCGTATAGCAGAGATCTGACAGGTGGTTATATAGGAAGGAGAAAACTCCTGTTTTGCAAGTGCTATTGGAGTGTCTGGGGTATGACATGGGAGAGTTTTGAGATTAATTCATCTCCTTGGAGTGGGAAAGGATTTTGTATTTGTTCTGTCAACTCATCCCAATGGTTGGTTTGGAAACTTACAATTGTCTGGCTGGTTCCTCTGAAGACATGCACGCTTCTATGGAAAGTAAGAAGGAATAACTACTGATCATAAGAAAATGGGATCTGGAGACCACCAGATACAGACAGGAATCTCAGTACTATAAGAAATGCATGGAATGAGTATCTGGGTAAATGGTGGTAGGCCTTCCCATGGTACCACAGATGACTCAAGGGATTTCTGTAACATTCAGGAGCGTAAGTAAAAGCGGAATTAAGTCAGAACTGCATGGGTCATGTTCAGTTTGCAATGAGAGTTGCATTTAGAATTGGAGAGAATTAATGTAGAAAAATGAGCCATGATGGGACTCGTGGAAGGAGAGGAATGATCGTCTAGGAAGAGTTGCAAAAACCAGCAGACCTGTAGCTGGTAAAAATAACAGCAAAGCAAAGTTCAAACAAGTGAAAAAGTGTGTTGAGTAAAGCACAAAGCTATCTAGAAGCTTCTTTCTGTCCCTTAAATTGGGATTGTTCCAATAGTTGGATGTCTCAATGTTTGTATATCTGCCAGCTTCAGTGTTGCAGTGCAGATTTTGGTGGAGTATGAAGCAGAGGGTTTTTGTAGTATTTTAAGTCATGCTTCATGGCTTAATTTCCATAACTGGGCAGCAAACTCCTGACATGTCCCTGTGTCCAGCTGTATGTTTTTGCCTGGCACAAAAGGTAAGAGAAGATGTTAGCCACAAAAAATGGAACGAAAGTTAGAATTTCCTGAAGACATAGCAGCTGCAGGGGAATAAGATGTGTTTGCAGAGTGCACACATAAAAAGATGTGTTTGTGCAGGTGGACAGGTACATAAAATATCACGTATATGTCTCTGTGACTTAAACATTTTAATCAGTGTATTTTAATTTGTATTTTATTTTACTCTGCTGTTAATACATACTCTGTTGTTCGGCCATGCAAAGCTCTGGCTTTCAGCAAACTGCCTGGCAGCACCCTCATGTACTTTGTGTAAACATTTCTCTGTTTCTCTAAGCAATGCAGGTTGTTGTGTTTGGTAATGTTTTTTGAATGTCTCTGCATTTCACTGTATCTTTTGAGAATGTCTTCAACATGGAAGATATTTCGTAACCACACAGCAAGATAAAAGCCTTGTTTCTCACTATTCTATACTTCAAAATTTTGTTCCAAGCGTCATATGGATCCTTGAAGCATGTTTATGGGATTCTAGTAAAGTGTCACCAGCAGTAGTTTAAATAGAGGAAACAGAAATATAGAGAAAAAGCTGAGAAAGCTTGTTGGTGCATAGTCTGTTCTCAAGGCAGAAATGTTAATGGTAGGAGTTCTGTATATTTTACTCTTCTGGAGAATACTGAAGAGCCTTTCTTCTCTAAGCACTTTGTTCTCTTCCCTTCGTTTTCTTCCTATCAGAGAAGTGTTATTTTTTTTTTGTTTCTTCTTGATATAGGGTAATTCTTACCTCTGTAAAGTTGGAGCAGAAATCAGCCCTCCTTTAAAACTCAGTTTTTCTTTCCAAGACTAATTATTTCCTTTTTTTTTTCTTTTTCTTTTTTTTGAATGCTCAGTAAAAGGAAATCTTTAGTCAGCTAGAAAAAAGAAGTGATGAGCTTAGCACTAAAACAAGTGCATGGGTAGTATGGCAGTGAATGTGAGGAGAAGTCCAAATAAGTTGAGTTTAAAATTTGTTATTAGTGCTTCTCAGAAAAGTGGAGAAGAAGAACTTTCCTGAGCTATGTTTCCTAATCTTTTCCACTTTTAAGTCTATTCCTACAGAAATAATTAGAATTGGGCTCAGTGGTGGTAGAGAATAGACTTGCTGGATATAAGTTACATTAGAATTTCTGTGTCTGATTCAGTATAGGGGGGAAGTTTGCCTACACATTCTAGTACACACCTAAAAACCATTTTTATATATTTTCATTTTATTACTTGTGAATACGTTTTATGCTGTTCTGAAGTAGTAATGTGGACTTCAGGAAGCACCACAGGGGGAAACAGAGGAGGTGGTGTCCAACACTCAAGGGGAACTAGAGCTCTGGTTATTGCTGGGGTTGTTGGTTCTTCTGGTTTTCCAGGTTTCCTTTATATCACTGGTGGTGGCTTGCTCTGTTTCCTGTTGACACAAGGTGCAGGTGTGCATACGCTGCTCTGTTTCTTTGCTTGGCTTAGAAAGCTGTAATTTTTAGCTGTATTTTGAGAGTGGATAGCAAATGATTCTTTTTTATGTGTTGTTTTTCTGGTCGTGTGCACCAGCTGTCATGGCCTAAAACACTTATGTAATGGAAAGACAGATTACACGGGGAAAAAGAAACTGGAGAAATGAAATTGTTACTGACAATATTCATGAAAACCTAGGCTTCAGCAAAGTCTGATGCTGACCCAACCCAACAAAATGTCTCACAAGTTCAATTCTAACAAATAATTGGAATTTCAGCATAGTGAAAATTGTGATAAGCATACATCTTGAGCAAATCTGTCATGTGAAATCACTGATTAAATTATGGTTTTGATGTGATGGTTTTGATATAAAATAATTTGGAGTGAGGCCACTTTGGAGCATGGAGAGGCCGCTGTGTAGATGAAGGCTTCCATGAACGTACCAAAAAGATAAGCATCCAAACCTCACACAGTACCACCACAGGTTTCTGCCTTTATAAATCCGTCCAAGACATTAAACATGTATGTTGTTACCAGGTCACTCAAAACCTATTTATACTCTCTAAGTCCCATTCCCTGTGTTTGTGTTCCTTCATACTGTAGAAAATAGGGTGAATAGTCAGACAAAATGACAAAAGCAGATAACCCTTCTTCAGCCTGATGAATGTGATGGGATCTGTGAAGATACAGTAAAGGTCAAGCATGTGTTGCAGTCATCGACCTGTGATTGTTAGGTACTTTGGCCTACCCCTTCACTGTCACAAATACCTGTAAATACTACTGTAAGTTTGGGAGAATTAATAAAATATTTAGCTTCCCATTGGCTTAAGCTTACAAAAGCTTGAGTAAATGTGTTTCTGTTCTATACTCTTAAAGAGCAGACTTACTGCTCCTGAGATGAACCGGAAAGTGGCCACGGAGCATGGAAACAGTGTATTCCACCAGCTTTTCCTCCATATGACAGCCTTGTTCTTAGAGGGAATAACACTGGTTTGGGCTGGAGTGGATTACACATCCATACTCAGGAGTGACACATCTGTCTTCCTGAAAGATAACGTGGAGGTGCTAGGTAGCACTGAGTGTAAGAATAAGAAGGTATCAACACACAGCAGACGCTGTGCTGCTCAAAGACCTGCAGGGACATCTGTAAGCTCCATGCATGTTGGAATTGACTGCAGAGCTATCTTGTTGGCAATGTGCACCAGCTTCCTGTTAGAGTGCCTTGAACATGCTTTACAGGTCAAATTCGTTATGTGCCTCGTAAGATGAGATGCTTTTAGGGGTAGAAATATGCACACTAGTTTATGGTGACACTGCTTCTACTCCCTTGTGTGAAAAGTGAGGGATCAAAGCAACTCTGGGCAAATGCAAAAACTTGACTCAAAAAAATAATCACTTGAATTTCCCTAAATATTTAATCATTTTCAGGAGATGGAGGAAAGTTAGCTAGAGCCTTTGTTTAGTGTTAAAGCTCTTAGGTTACGTTTCCCTTTTGTGGCTTTATGAAAGACACTGTAGCATAGAAATAAAATCCTGCCTGCTTCTCCTTTGACAATACGAGAGATTGTAATGAGCCAGGGAAATGGAAAAGCCAACTGAAGTGGGCTTATAGTTTCTTCTGTTGCTCTTCAGTTTGCTTATGCAATGAACATAATGAGAAATCTCTCCGAAAGAGGTGGTGGGATTGTTGGGGAGAGGGGCAGGGAAGAGAACTGGTTAAAATAAAAAATGGAGCAACTTCTTCAGTCCTTGCTCCCTCTAATAGCAAGACAGAGAGTGCGTGTTACCTGCTGAGCTGTGCTGTGACTGAGCGCCACTGCTGTGAGATCTTACTTCTGGCTGCCTTGCTGCTTGCAGCAGCTTCATCAAGTGCTATGTTGGCCAGCTGAGCCAGGTGATTGCACCCAGCACACAGGATCCCTCCCAGGTATAGTGCATTGCATTCGTGGAACAGGAGCACGTTGTGTTTGCTGCTGGAAAGGCAGATATGACGGTCCTGAGGGAATCTGAACTGTGTCTTGACTAAGTCTGGAACAACTGGTTTGAGGAAGAAAATACTGTTTCTGGCTGCCAGCTTGCCACCTCTCTGACTCTTCTTTCCCACTTGGCTCCCAGACTTGCAAATCTTCTCCCAGCAGAAGCATGCTTCTCCCTCCCTCCAGCCTTTCTGCCTTGAGAGAGGTTAAAGCTGCTGGCACTTGCATTCACGCACTGCTTGCAGATTAAAATTCTGGCCTGATTTCCATCTACCTAAAATACCTAAAGAGAGTATGTAGAGACTGAAGAGACTGTATTGAACGTTTAGTAGCTTTGTTGGTAGGAGTTTATATGCACCCCCCAGTGCTCCCCTCATCCATAGCTGTGAGGGTGTGCTGTGGGCTGTGTCTTTGCTCTTCCAGTTGGCTTGCACAGCTTCATGCTCTCCAAATTCATGTTTTATTTGGAGCTTTGATTCAGGAATTGAGTTTAAAAGGACAGGTTTTTGATTAAAACTATTTCAAAGTAGCTCTGATTTTAAAGAGTGGTGGGAATTGTAGACTTGAAGCTACCCTGTCATTTTATCTGCAATTTCCTTTCTTAGTCCTTTCTTAAATCTAACGTGATTAAGCCATGTCACTGGATTAGAATGATGACTTGTAGTTTTAGTGGAAAAATCCTTGATTGTTCTAGGCTGTGAACAGAATTCCTTCATTTTGCATATCAACATTTTATGTAATCATAGTTCTAGGCTTATATGTGACATGAGAAATGCCTGGCCTCATCCACTTGGCTTCAACCCATTAGACATTTATATACATTGATAAGATCCCCCCTCAGTCTTCTGTTTTCCAAGGTGAACAACCCCAGCCTTTCCTAGCGTGGGATGTGCTCCAGGCCCTTCAACATCTGCGTGGCCCTCGCTGGGCTCTCTCAAGCAGTTCTGTTCTTTTTGAACTGAGGAGCTCACAACTGGACACAGTGCTCCAGAGGTGCTCACCAGGACAGAGCAGAGGGGAGCATCACCTCGCTTAACCTGCTGGTCACGCTCTTTTTAACGCACCCCACGATACCATTGACCATCTTGGCCACCTTGCTGGCTCATGGCAAACCTGTTGTCCATCAACACCCCCAGGTCCTTCTCTGAAGTTATCCTCTTCAGCAGGTCAGCCCCTAGCCTGTACTGGTACATGTAGTTATTCTTGCCCAGGAGAAGAAAAGGGAGCAGAGGATGCAGGTTTTGTTAGAAGGGTACAGGAGGATTCCCCCATAGCCTGGTTACTGAGCTACAGTAGTATAGCTTGATTGAATCCAATCTTATGGCTATTAGGAGATGTATAGCTGCAGCAAAGTGGTGTCGCTTTGGTAGGAAGAGCTCTGCTTATGGCAGCTCAGGCTCTTGCATTGCTGTAGGGACTGGATTGCCCAGTGCAGACCAGCACAGGAGCTAAGGGGATTCCCAGTGGTAGATGTGGCTCTGGGCACTGCTGAGCAGTTTAGCCCTTGGCTTATTTGGGTGTTCTTGACCTTTCGTACAGAATTTAAAAAAACATTTTGAAACCTA